TTTTTTTTTTTTTTTTTTTGTAAAACAAATTTATGCCGTCATGTTTTTAGACTAGTTACCTAAAGTTGGTCAAATTACACTAAGCAGTGTTTGAAGAGCTGAAGCATGTTTAAAGATTGAAAGTAGATCAAGCTCAAGCTCACTTTATTACAGCCACTGAATAAGTGTAATAATATCTTAATGGGATACTTTGTATCCAATGTGCAAAGAATCCCACACAAGCAGTCACTTTTAAATCACAAGTTTGTCTCATGCTTTATTCATTACTGTTGCCTCCCCGCTCAATAGATTGGTCTGCAGCGGAGAGAAACATCTCATTCCTTTAAAGTAAGTGCTTTTCTTATGCTCTCGTGTTGGTAAATGGATTTAATGATTTAATGTATTCACTGCTTGTCAAGTTGATTGGGTAATGCCAAATATATATTTTGGGGCTCTGGAGAAGAAAGAAATTATGTTCTTGTCAAAGCAGTTGCTTTTTAAATTACTTTACTTAAAATACTACATTTTTAGATTAACATTAACTCAGATTAATAAATTAATGAATAGAAGTATTGTTAATTGTTAGTTCATGTAGTTATGTAGTTACTTATGTAGTTAACAGATGTTAATAAATGAAACCTCGACTAATACATTTTTGAAAGCATGTGAATACTAAAAGTCATGTGTTTACATGAAAAATTACATTAAACAATATTCAATAGTTGATTCAAAACTTTTTGGTTGTGGGTGACATACCTACCAACAATTTGTTACTTAAATCTGTGCTACTTTTGTGTCCTTTACTGATTTTTTCCCCCACTCCACAGAAAATGAAATCCATCAGAAAACGATGATCAGAACCTGCTAAATTCAACACACAGAAGTGCTTCTGAAGTCTGATGGGAAGACTAAATCCACTATCAGCTCTGCACAGACATACTGAGCTGACCCATTTTACATCTTTATGAAAATGCAGATTTTGCTGATTATTTTATACATTGTTTCTGTTGCCTTTCTATACTTAGAACTAGCTTATTGTGTCTGTGCCCGTGCTGAATATGAGATAAACGGACATTGCTGCCCTGTGTGTGCACCTGGTTAGTAAATAGTTCACAGTAATAAAAGAAAATAATTTTAGTTTTTAAGTTCAATAGGTAGTATTGTTTACAAGGAGAATTGCAAGATGTCTTGACGTAGGACTTTCATAAAAAAAGTTTCAAATATCCTATATACTTTTTAAAGGTAACCGTGTTTTATGGCATTGCACAGTGGATACCAGCACAACTTGTGCACCCTGTAATACATCCACATACACTGATGAGTCTAATGGCCTTGAAATATGCTTTCCCTGCTCGGCCTGTGATGAAGGTGAGCGTTTCACATTTATTCTTTTAGCAGAGAGTTAAGGTTACGCAAAAGTATACAACCATTTAACATGTTTCAATCTTCAATAATAAACAACTGCTTTGTTTCAATATATTTAGGTTTAAGGATACAGAAGGCCTGTACACGGTTATCAGATACCGTTTGTGAGCCACTAGAAGGATTCTTCTGTATGGTCCAAGAAAAAGGCCGCTGTAGATTAGCTGTTAAACATTCTCAATGTAAACCTGGAGAATACATCCATCAAAGAGGTACAGATGTTAACATTTTCTGTGTAAACATTACTAAAGTGAGTGCACAAATAATTGGGAAATACTTCTCACAAGTTACTTGCATATTAGAATAGGCAGATAAGAATACAAAATACTTACTAAACTAGACCTTATTTAATATATTTCATAATGCTATACACAGCTTTATTGTGATGCAAATTCTACAGCTATAGCTGCATGACTATCTGCAGAAATAGTATAAAACAACGCTCTCCAATATTTTGAATTTGGACTGCAGTACCGATTTCAATATTACATACTGCACCTTTAACTATTGACTAATGTTTAAAAAAAAAATATATATTTTTGTCAAATGTTACCGAATTTATAATAACTGACCCGACGTGTGTACTGTTAACAGTAGCCTACTTGAATAATGTTAAATGCTACAACATTTAATACTTAATGTGAAAATCCCTGTAGTGTTAATCTAATGAAACAGTTAAGGAACTCAGTGTCTTAATATCTTTACAGGAACAGCAAACACTGATACTGTATGTGGTGAATGCATTAATGGCACCTACTCTGATGGCACTTTCACAGCTTGTCAGCCACATACATTGTGAGTAATCAAAGTTTTACATTAAAATCCCATTCTAATACGTTTGGACGTGCTAACATCACAGTGTTACATGTCTACAGATGTCAGAGTATGGGACGTAAACAAATAAAAATGGGAACAACGTCATCTGATGCTAGATGTGAACACACTCCAAATGGTCTTGTTGTTGGAATCATATCTACTGTTGCGGTCGTTGTTGTTGTTGTTATTGGAGTCTCAGTAACCCAGTATGTCATATTCAAGCAGAAGTCAAAGGCTCGTCCAGGGATAAGGTAAGGCTTTGACAATTTTCCCCCATCATAATGTACTTTACATTTGTCTGAATAATGGGATTTTTATATTTCAGGTCTGTCCAGTTCCGAAATGTTGGTGGAGGGCTTTTAAAGTGCTTATACACATAATCCATGGACTTGATGTTACTTAATACATTTCAACCAGTCAAAGCTGAAACAAAAAGAGAACTCAAAAAAGAAACAGAAATATTGGTTTCTTAAGGTAGACCAGCTATGCATAACACTATGCATACATGTGTTCTCTTGTTATATATAACATAAAATTCTGTATTATTCTTAACCCTTTTTATTAAAAATAATTGAAATGGATAATGGATGTACTATTGATTACCATGGTAAAGTTTATGAATCATTCATCAGAAATTGACATTAATCTATGCCTCGTATCTGAACAGTTACTTGCATACATTGAAATTAGTACACGGTATAACACAATATACTACATTTGTGAATCATTTTTGTGACATGA